AAAAAAAAAAAAAAGATACGAGGATCCCAGATTAGGGACTCGAACCCGGGTCTTTGGGTGAGTCCGGTTTCTCTGGGCGCACCTCGTACCATTGTGCCCGCCATGCACCTTGCATTTATTTCTGCGCAAATTATATGCATATACATATACATATATTATAAATTGCAATATATTATATACTATATGTTTATTATATACTATATGTTTATTATATACATATAATATAATATAACATATGTTATATTATAACATATGTTATATTATAACATATGTTATATTATAACATATGTTATATTATATTATAACATATGTTATAATATAACATAGTAATATAATATAATATAGTAAAATATTATAACATATGTTATAATGTTATAACATATGTTATATAATATAACATATGTTATATTATTTAACATATGTTATATGTTATAACATATGTTATCATAGTAATATAATATAATATAGTAATATATTATAACATATGTTATAATGTTATAACACATATGTTACATTATCACATATGTTATAATATAGATGTTATAATATAACATAGATGTTATAATATAACATATGTTGATATCATTTTCAATGAACCGAGTTAAGCAACGTTGATTAGACGATTATGGTCAATGTGAGGATAATTAAAATTCGTACAAGTACATGATGACTCCACTGACTTCAAGACGATTGTATAACAAGAGATTCAGCAAGAACCGACATCTCCGTTACTAGACCGATATCTCATGTCGGTTATCACATGTCGGTCACTACATGTCGGATACAACATATCGGTTATAACTGGATGAACCGATATCTATGATGTGCCACTTCAGCACTGTAAGGCGGCGACAACTCAGCACGAATCATCATTACGTGTGTCCAAGTGGCGTGCCATCAAGAGAAGTAGCAAGAAGCCGCCTTTGACCTTTCAAATGTAATGATTACTTTACAGATAAATGTTGTACATGAATATAAAAGGAGAAAACAGTTCTCCAAAAAAAAAGGGGGACAGATATGCAATAATAATATCCAAAACAAAATTCCATCTCTTTTTATCAAACATATCAGTTTCTAGTGATTTATTCTGAGTTTACTCCAAATCCTTATCGATTATATCGTTGTTCATTTTCATATTACAACAGTTTGGCGCTAGAAGGAGGGCCACCTTCGTTTTCAAGTTGACTTTCGCGTTCAAGCCATTTTCACGCTCGAAGCCATCATGTCGCAGTCTGGTCGAGACCACGTAACTCATCCTGGCCAGAGTCAATCGGCTAACCGTTCTCCACGGCGTGCAACACCACCTCCTCCGGTCACGAGCATCCCAAACTTTCTTCAAAACCCGGAGTTTATTCAAGGTTTAACTTCGTTGATAGCTCGAGCCATGCCCAGGAACTCGAATACGGTACCGTTATCGATGCCGTTAACTACTAACCCAACAGAACATCCAACCCACACTTGTCCAGATCCTGAAACACGTGCGGCAGCATCCCATGCTACGTCTCAACCTCACCGTACTTCTCCACGTCAAGAAGAGCTGACTCATATAACAGCTAACCCAATAACGAACAATCAAGCCCCGGAGGAGCCCCCTGTGCAAGAGATGACTGCTGAAAGTCATTCTGCCCATCACCAGAGAATTTCTCCGCGTCCTAGACCCGTTTCATCAGCGCCTCACCCTCGCGAAGATCTGCGGCGTCAAATTGAATGAAATCGTCTTTCAAGACATAGTGCGGAGGAAATTGAAACTCTTCGTAAACGCTTGGCTGAACTTGAGACATGACAGAAGTCGCAGGAAGACTCTCCCCGACATGTCACAACGTCGGGAAATGTCATTATTGAGGCGGATTCCCCTTTAGCTCCGGAACTTACTGCAGAGGCACTTCTAGCTAAGGTAAAAATTCCACAAATTGGCATGTATGACGGTACCTCCGACCCAGATGCACACTTGGGTCATTATACATCGTGGATGGATTTGCATGGGGCCTCAGATGCTTTGAGATGTCGGATGTTCTCTCTTACGCTGGGGCCGCGAGCACAGAAGTGGTATTATACTCTCCCACCGCACTCAATTTGGAAGTGGCAACAGTTACGAGCGGCTTTCCGATCACACTTTATCGGTGCTCAAATTTGCCTCATTCCGAAAGAATCGATCCCCAACATTGTGCAAAAGGATGACGAGACTGTTAAAGACTACGTGTCTCGGTTCAACGACCAAATTCAGAACATGGAGCCTTGTCACCCTGAAACCTTGTTAGTAACTGCCATTGCTGGACTGAAACCCAACTCGATGTTTCGTTGGACCCTGTGTCAGAATAAACCTGCTACATTTCAAGAATTTCTTGTGCGAGCTCAACAATTTATTATTGCCGAAGAATCGATGTCGGTTCCCAATTTTGACTTCTCGGTGAAAGAAAGCAAGACTGAACCGGACGCTAAAAAGAAGAACAAGAAGAACTTTGGGAAAGCACAGTTTCGGAACTCTTCCAAAGGATATGAAAATACTCCAGAGTCTCGGGCTGCTCGTGATCAGTATTCAGACAACGTCAGGACAGGTTATCATGCCGTTTATTCCGCCGGAGCAGCTACCATATATGAAGAACTGAAAGGAAAAGGGATCATCCCAGACCCGAGGCCTGTGAGAACCCCTGAAGACAAGTTGGACAAAACTCGGTACTGTGCATACCATAAGTCTCCAGGACACAATACCGATGAGTGTCTCGGTCTTTTGTTGGCACTCTTAAATTTAATCGGACAACCTCAACTTCAAAAGTTTCGAAATTTTGATAACCACCGGAAAGGAAGGCCCTTGGATCTTTCAGACGATGAAGATGAAGATAACCGACCCGCTAACCAGAAAAGAGCTCGTGCAAATGATAAGGAGGTTTTTACATTTTCTACTCATGTTGGAACCTCTACTGATAACTGCAGGAAGTCTAAGATACATGATGCCTTAGACTCTTCACATTGCATACCTCGAGTCAACTCCAATAACAAACAATTAGATACGTCTCGACGGAAAGTCAAAGCCTATGCCCGGGAAGCACAGAATGCCGAGAAACGAGTCATGAATGTAGACCTTCGAGATACCATTAACAAACGGAATTGTCCTATCACATTCAGTATCGAAGACGCTAATTTATTTGCTCATCCTCACTCCGATGCTCTTATTATAACAGCCCCGATTGGAGAAATTCCTGTTCATCGGATTTTGGTTGACGCGGGAGCTTATTCAAGTATTTTAATGCTTCGTACGTTCAAAAAATTGGGTTTAGACCCGGCGGACATTAGACCTTGCAACGACCAAATTCAAGGTTTCAATGGAAGTATTTCTTGTCCTGTCGGCGAAATACTGCTTCCCATTCGATTTGGCGGCTTTGGACCAAAATCTAAGATCATTATGGAGACCTTCAAAATCTTGGATGTTCAGAACGAATATAATGTTGTAATAGGACGAACTGCACTCTACAAACTCCGTGCTGCTGTGTCAATTTTTCATTATGCCCTGAAGTTCCCCACTATTGAAGGAGAAGGCACTCATTACGGAGATCAACGAGAAGCCCGAAGTCTGATGTTGCTCTCAACCTCGCGTAGCTTTAATATGATTGAGGAGCAAGATGCTGATAACTCCGTTGAGCCAAGTAATTCAACTTTTGATGCTGAAAGAACTGATCAATTCATTCCAGATACTGGCGTACCTCAAGAAGATACCGACATGCCGCTTACCGATACCGACATCCCTATGATGTCGGTTTTGCCTGAAACATTAACTGGAGTCCTTGATCAAGAACAACCTTTTTCACGAGAAAGATACAGAAATGCACGAAGATATGGATCCACGGATGCAGTTCAAAGATGGGGGTCGCCATGTCCGACCAGAACCAGTTGAAGATGTCGAAATCATTTACGTGGATGGATCGACTCAGCAAAAACCACTGCGTATTGGGACTAACCTTCGAGAACCCGTTCGATCAAATCTAATTCAATTCTTCCAGTCGAACTCCGATGTGTTCGCCTGGAAGCATGAGGATATGAAAGGGATTGACCCGCAAAAAGCATGCCATCGCTTGAATTTAGATAAAACTGTCAAGCCTGTTATCCAG